CATGGTTGGAACTTATGGTTATCATACCTATTTTGTTGTCCTGACTGAGGCTGACCAGATTTACCCTTGTTGACTAACAATGGACGCTAAGCTTTCCAATGATTTTTATGTTTGTAGAATGCACACTCATTATAAGCAACCCTCAGAGTTTGTCGAGTCTGATTAGAGGAAACAACAAGCACAACAGGATTGGAAGTAGGAATAGAGGTTGATTTAAACCCTTTATCCGCATGAAACTTGATACTAGTCTCTTCAGCAATCAGCTCATGAACAAAAGAATCCACTGTGGGAAGGGGGGGGGGGAGCGATGAAGAATCGTTCCACTTAGGATTTCAAAATCAGAACGCAAGGCCATCAAAAACTGAACCAAACGTTGTTCTTCACTCCTAGCAATATAATGCTCAAAATCTTTAACTCTTTAGATCCAGTAAGAGCCAATTGATCCCACAAGTCAGACATAACAACATAGAAATCTTGAATACTCTTGTCATTTTGTTGAAGGGAACGAATAACTGATACTGTTTTGCAAATTTAGACGGAGTATACAGTCTCTCCAAGTGATTCCAAACTTCATTTGATGTGTCATATTTAGCGAACTGCATACCAATAGACTGAGTAACAGAATTGTTAATCCAAGTAGTGACCTTAGAGTTATCAGTCTCCCAAGCATCAACCAACAAATCGAAATTCTCAGCTTGAGGCATTCAGGGTTTGGCTTTAGTCCCAGTGACATAGCCCCACATATTCTTCCCACGAAGGAAGTTCTTCATAACATAACTCCAATACGTATAATTCTTTCCATCTAGACGAATACTGATTTACAGAAGGGAATCATCCTTTCCAGCCATGTTGGCAATGAATAAATAACCACAAAAATATATACGCAATCTGAGAATGAGAAGAGTAACAAACCAGCGGAAGCAATCAATCGAACAACAAGAGATTGAAAAACAACAACAACGAACTAACAGCAACAACAAGCGAATACCAACAAACAAACGAACATCATCAACGAACTAACAGTTCGATCTGCGCCACAGATGACTGCTATAAAACATTCTAACAACGTATCAAACCTCGTTCTGATACCATGATAATATTGTCATCTGATTATGATAGAGAGAAATTACAAGGTTCTCAAGGAAAAACATAAAGACTACAAAGAAGAAAACGAAGAATCAATACTAGCAAGACAAAACTCTAATGGGCTAAAGCCTAAAGGGCCCATAAACATGTGAGCTAATAACATATAGGCTAACAATAAAAACTTACGTGTTTTAGAAATTTTGTTGTCATAAAAATATTATTATTCTCAAATTCGTAATATAAATGTCGTTTGGGTTCAAATGAGATCAATTATTATTGAGAGACACGTACGAGTTTCTAATACACATTTTGGGGGTTAAACAATTTTTTTTAAATAGAATATATATATATATATATATATATATATATATATATATATATATATATATATATATATATATATATACACTTGATATTGATTTTTCGTTATTTTTAACATACAAAAATATAAAAAAAAAAAAATCAATGTTCTAATTAAATATTCTAAAAAATGATGCGGTCTCATATCTAGCGCCTCTGCGGTTCCGATTAAAGGGCCGGTTAATACAACTTATCAGTCGGGCCTGGGCCTGCACATCAAGAAACAAGCCTTTTTCAAATTTAAACTTGATTCATTATTTGATTTAGTTTACAGTATGTATTGATTAGTATTTCATAGTTCATAATATAACAATAAATACAGATAAAAAACCCAACGCCTAGCAAAAAACTAGAGGAAAAGAGACATGAAAAAAAATCGACATATGTCACGCAAAAAAACTTTGATCAAATGTCTTTCAGTCACATGTTTTTTTTCCCATCACAATTATGATCAAAGGTCATGTCATATTGTCATTTTAGGTATCACATATTGAAATTTAGTGGCTATACCAACTGAAAAAATATGGTCGTATCATAGAACTTTTAGCAATTGATTGGATCTCCATATTGCATAGATAAAATTTGTTCATGATTACAATATTTCGCATCAACATATGAAAATATGACATTTATTGTTTTATTACAACAACGATATTTAATAATTTAAATAACAAGATTCATAGATCCGAATTCTATGCCAAAAACGTAGGTTCATAAATACCATGAACAAAATTTTCAAACTAGTGTTTAAAGAATTTGGAGTGAGAAAAATCGAGTAATTATGATGTTGGTGGTACTGGTGGCTATAAACGCAAAAGGTCAAAGTAGTGTTTGATCTATGGTTAGACTTTGCGGTTCCTAATTACAAATTACAATAGTGTATAGTCTAATTAAATATTTGAGGATTTAAAAGCAGTGGATAACAACACGTATATTATTTAGGATACTTTATAAAGTATTTTGGAGCTAAAAAAGCTAGTAAAACTTAAAAGTGAAATGGCAAAATCGTTTCACCTTTTTACCACAATTATAAATGTAACTTAATAAAATATTTTTTGAGAATAACAAAATAGCATATAATATCATTTCAAACATATTAAAATTTTCATTAATTTGATATCCAACATGTCAAACACTAGTAATTGATAGGATAGGACAACTGGTGTTAAATTATGGGCTACAAAATCTATAGTCATAATAACTTTTTGGTTGGGTTAAATACAAACATCTTAGATGTCATGTGCCGTATGCTCCAAAAAGAAGCCGTCATAATTGAAATCCACCCTATCAAATAATTATACTCTTATTATTGTTTTTATTTAGACTGCTAGGTATGAGCAACGTCCATCGGATCGTTTTTTAGCATTATAACGTGCAAACACCGCCCATCTTCACCGTTATTGGGCGTTATACGCCTGTGCGTTGCTTCCCGTTACCACCACCACCTTCCATTGATGCCGTTTTTCTTCTTTTTCTCAAAAAAGCCGGTGTAGGCGTTGCCCACACCTAGCAGCCTTAGATGTTTATATTATTAACATAGTTTGTAAACTTTTAAGTTTTAACTACAAACGGATTAGAACAGAGTACCACGTTAGAAAGTAAGTTTTAATATGTAATCTCATTAATAAAATGCATCTTGTAACGACGTAAATTTTCAACAAAATTTTCATTTTCAAACACAATAAAACTCATTTCATAATTCTCAAAATCTCATATGTCTCAAATGTCAACAAGTAAAACACAATCCTAGAATTATAAAAACAATCTCCCGCCAGTGTGTACAATCATGCCGGTGCCTTGCCGCGATCCACGGAACTACCTGAAACACATAACACATAACATGGTAAGCATAAAGCTTAGTGAGTTCCCCAAAATACCACACATCACATCAGCCACCCGAGGCTATAACTCAATAAGACCCTCCGGTCAATGTGTCTCAGTGGGACCCTCCGGTCCCACAACTCAGATGGACCCTCTGGTCCTTCAACTCAGCAGCTCAATATAACACACACTAAACATATCACATAACAAATAGCAGGATATCTCAATACACATCTCATTCACATAAGACCCTCTGGTCACATATAAAATTACCACTCAAGGTAAGTATAGTGAGAAGACTCACCTCGTAACCTAGCAAGTGAAAACCTCGTACTCAGAAATCTCGAACTCTACCCACCGGTCAAGCCTCCGCCTAACACATAATAATTATCCCTAATTAATATTGGCCCTCAAGAGGCTAGACTAACCCTTCTATGCTCACAGGAGGGTAAAAGACCATTTTACCCTCCATGGTCTCAATGTTCCTAACTGCCTTACTCTCAAGACACGGAAGTCAATACGAGTCAACCGCCAAGGTTGACCCGACTCGCCGAGTGCACTCGGGTGACTCGCCGAGTCCACTCGTATCCTCTGAATTCTTCTAAGTGTCTCACACGACTCGTCGAGTTAACATCCCAACTCGAAGGGTTACCACTGGGTCACGAATCGTGGGGCAACCCGATCCGACTCGTCGAGTCATCGCATAGACTCGACGAGTTGACTCATCTGGATGTCTCATATGGATGTATGAGGTCAGATCTGACACTCCAACCTCTAGATCTAGCCTCCTAATACCCAAAAGTCACGTAAAGGTCCGATCTTGATGACCATGCATGGCATCCATGCTCCAAAATGTCATCACAAGCTCCAAGAAGGGTCACATGCATGGGGACCTGCCTCTAACTCGATAAAGATCAAATCTTTGGACCCTCAAGGTCCCCTCTAGTCCAGATCTGAGGTTCTAACCTCAAACCATGCTCAAAAAGATCAAGAATACAACATGCTTGAGATAAAACCTTAAAAGCTCCCCAAAAATGAGATCTAACGAACAAGAGGCCAAGATGAGAGCTTTTTACCTCTGAATAGCAGCAAATGACAGAAGAATGCAAGATCCACAGCCTCCTCTTGGATGGATCCACCAAACTCCTCTAACCTCTCCTCCAAAATGCTCAAGAGTGCACAAGATAGCCTCTCTCTCTCTCTCTCTACAACGAAAAGGGCAGGTTAGGGTTTCTTTCTGGGGAAGGTGGCCGCAAAGCGAGGCCATAAGGGCCTTTAAATAGGCCACAAGCCCGAGAAATTAGGGTTTCCTTCAGCAGCGCTGACTCGGCGAGTCAGCTCACGGACTCGTCGAGTCCGCTCATTAATCCGCGTCACCAGTCGCGACTCTACTCGATGAGTTGAGGCACCAACTCGTCGAGTCACTCCACATAACTCAAAATAAACACTTAAAATATTATACATGGCATCTGAATGTTACAATTCTCCCCCACTAGAATCAAACTTCGCCCCCGAAGTCATGCTCCTCAAATAGCTCCGGATGCTGCTCTCGCATCTCGGACTCCGGCTCCCATGTCATCTCGAACCCTTTCCGATGTTGCCACTGAACCTGAACCAGGGGCACCTCTTTGTTCTTCAAAACCTTCACCTTTCGATCCATAATTGCGATCGGTCTCTCAATATAATTCAGGCTCGCATCCACCTGAATGTCCTCTAATGGTACAACTTCCGTCTCATCGGCTACACACTTCCTTAACTGGGACACGTGAAAACGTATCATGGATCTGGCTCAACTCCGCAGGTAGCTCTAAAGGGTATGCTACCTTACCCACTCTAGCGGTTACCCTGAAGGGACCGATGTATCGGGGCCCCAACTTGCCTCTCTTCCTGAACCGTATCACCCCTTTCCACGGGGATACCCTCAGGAGGACGAAGTCCCCAACCTGAAACTCTAGCTCGGATCGTCGCCTGTCCGCATAACTCTTCTGGCGACTCTGAGTCGTCAGTAATCTCTGTCTAACCTGCTGAATCTGCTCAGTCGTCTTGAGCACTATCTCAGTTCCACCCATCACTCGCTGTCCTACCTCTCCCCAACAGACGGGGGTCCGACACCTCCTCCCATAAAGAAGCTCAAAAGGAGGCATGCCGATACTGGAATGGTGGATGTGGTTATAAGAAAACTCAGCCAGGGGTAGGTATGTGTACCAACTTCCACCGAAGTCCATAACACATGCTCGAAGCATGTCCTCGAGCGTCTGAATCGTCCGCTCACTCTGTCCATCTGTCTGTGGGTGGTAGGTTGTGCTAAAATGCAATCGAGTACCCAACTCCTCATGGAACTTCTTCCAGAATCTGGAAGTAAATCGCACATTCCGATCTGACACTATAGACATCGGCACCCCATTCCGAGCTACCACCTCTCTCACATATATCTCTGCCAGCTTCTCTGCAGAAGAGCTCTCACTAATAGCAAGAAAGTGAACGCTCTTCGTCAACCGGTCCACAATCACCCAAATCACGTCGACACCCCGCGCGGTCCTCGGCAACTTGGTGATAAAATCCATGGAATTTTGTTCCCACTTCCACTGGGGAACCTCCAGTGGCTGCAACATGCCATGAGGACGCTGGTGATCGGCCTTAACCCGGCGACATGTCAAGCACCTCTCGACTACCCACGCAACGTCCCTCTTCATACAGGGCCACCAATAATCTCTCTTCAGGTCCAAATACATCTTAGTAGCCCCGGGATGGATCGAGAATCTCAATCTATACGTCTCCTCCATCAGTGTACGTCAAGCTCCTCCCGTATAGGGCACCTAAATCCTTCCTCGGAAGGTCATAAGTCCTCTGCTGTCCGTCACAAACTCGGACACCTGCCCAATCACCCGCTCCCTCTTACGGTTCTCCGGTCTCACGGCCTCCACCTGGGCCTCTCGAATGATATCTAAGACTGGTGTCATCACTGTCATCCTCATACACACGTCTCGGATCGGGATACTATCTGTTCTACGACTCAGGGCGTCGGCTACCACATTAGCCTTGCCCGGATGATACAGGATCTCGCAGTCGTAATCTTTCACTACATCCAACCATCTCCTCTGTTTCATGTTAAGTTTGGGCTGATCCATAAGATACTTCAAACTCTTGTGGTCCGTGTATATGGTACACCGAACCCCGTACAGATAGTAACGCCAGATCTTGAGGGCAAACACCACTGCCCCAGCTCCAGATCGTGGGTGAGATATCTCGTCTCATGAGGCTTCAACTGCCTCGATGCGTACGCCATCACGTGCCCTCTCTGCATCAGTACCGAACCCATGCCCGTAATAGATGCATCGCAATAAACCACAAAATCCTCCATTCCCTCCGGAAGGGCCAACACGGGAGCCTCGCATAATCTCTGGCGAAGGGTCTCAAATGAGGTCTGCTGCTCAGGACCCCAAGCAAACGCAACACCCTTCCGGGTCAAACTGGTGAGAGGGACGACGATCTTGGAGAAATTTCTGATAAATCTCCGATAGTATCCGGCCAGTCCCAGAAAACTCCTGATCTCGGTGGGGGATATCGGCACCTCCCATCTCATAACTGCCTCAATCTTAGCCGGATCGACCAAAATACCATTCTGGTTAACGAGGTGTCCCAGGAACTAGATCTCTCGTAACCAGAAATCGCACTTGGAGAACTTGGCATAGAGCCTCTCCGATCTCAATACACCCAGAACCTCCCTCAGGTGTTCCTCATGTTGCTCCCTGGATCTCTAATACACCAAGATATCGTCGATGAACACGATCACCAATCGATCCAACATGGGCCTACACACCCGGTTCATGAGGTCCATGAACACTGCCGGTGCGTTGGTGAGCCCGAAAGGCATCACCACGAACTCATAGTGCCCATAACGTGTCCTGAAGTCCGTCTTCTGGACATCCTACTCGCGGAATCTCATCTGATGATACCCAGATCTCAGATCGATCTTGGAAAACCAAGACGCCCCCTGCAACTGATCGAACAAATCGTCGATCCTCGGAAGCGGGTAACGGTTCTTAATCGTCAACTTGTTAAACTCCCGGTAATCAATGCACATCCGGTGTGAACCATCCTTTTTCTTGACAAAAAGGACCGGGGCTCCCCACGGCGAGCTACTTGGCCTGATAAAACCTTTCCCCAGCAGCTCCTGTAGCTGTGAGGATAACTCCTGCATCTCCGGAGGCGCAAGGCGATAAGGTGCCTTGGCAATAGGCGCCTCTCCCGGCACCAAATCGATCCGAAACTCTACCTGCCTCTCGGGAGGCACTCCCAGCAACTCCTCGGGAAAAACATCTGGGAATTCGCACACTATCGAAACCTCGGAGATAGAACTTGATCTCTCTGTAGCAGCACGCGTATCCGTCACATATGCCAAAAACCCCATACGACCCTGCTGTAGACTCTGTCTCGCTCTGGCAGCCGAACAAAATGCCGACCCAGATCGGGTACCCTCGCCATATACTGTAAGCACTCCCCCACTAGGGTCTCGTATGGTCACCAGCTGACGCTCACAGTCGATCACAGCTCCAAATCGACTCAACCAGTCCATGCCTACGATGACACAAACATCCCCAATCGCGATCGGTACCAGATCTATCAGAAACTTAACTCCGAAGATCTCAAGCTCACATCCACGAATCACATCAGTCACAAACACCGCATGCTCATCGGCCATGGAAACTCTCAGAGGTCGACTCAACGTCTCTCGTCGAATACTGATGTGACGACTAAATGCTAATGATACAAAGGATCGACTCACACCTGAGTCAAATAACACCAAGGCAGGCACATAACTCACAAGATACACAATCACAATATAAGCAGAAACATATCTCAAAAGAATATAATAAGAACACGTACCAACCACAACATCAGGTGTTGTGCGGATCTCCTCCGCTGTCAACTGAAAGGCTCTCCCTTGAGCCCTCGGTGTCTCGGCCTTCGCTGGCCGGATCTCAGCAGCACACACAGAAGTAGGTGCAGATCCCTAGGCTAATCCCTGCACGAGCTGAGGGCACTCCTCCTTCCGGTGGCCGGTCTGGTTGCAATGAAAGCAAACCGAGAATCCCTTGGGGAAATCCTTCACCATGTGCCCCTCCTTGCCACATTTGTAGCAAATCCCCGAACGGCAAGAACCCTCGTGACTCTTTCCGCACTTGCCACAAGTGCGGCCCTTCTGGCCCCCAACTCTGGAATCAGCAGGCTTGGCCCGCTTCGTTGCCGGCTGCGACTGTACTGGTCTCCGGTCCCTACCCCGAGACTCTTCCTCCTCCTCCCTGGTCTGCAACTCAAGCTCGATCTCCCTCCTCCTGGCATTGGCCTGAAGCTCGGCCAATGTCCTATACAACGAGTTCGCCACGAACTCTCGTATGTCCCTCCTCAGTATGCTCAGATATCGGCTCACACGTGCCTGCTCAATGGACACGTGTTCAGGGCAAAACATCGCCCTCTCATGGAACATCCTCGAAATCTCAGTCACTGATTCTGTCTTCTGCTTGAGAGACAGAAACTCCTGTGCCAAACGTTCCCTCTCCACCGGGGGAACATACTCGTCTCGGAACATCTGAACAAACCTCTCCCATGACACTGCAGCATGATCTGCAGGGGTAAAACCAACTGTCACAAACTTCCACCAGTCCTTCGCTCCCAAGCGAAGCTGGTTCAGTGCAAACCGAACTCTCAAGTGGTCGGGGGCATGAACACGTATAAAAATACCCCTCAATATCAGAGATCCACCTCATCGCAGCAATTGGATCCTGCGTCCCATCAAACTCTGGTGGCTTCGTGTTGCTGAACTCTCAGAACAGTAACGAGTCACCTCCCTGAGGCCTAGCAGCTGCGACAGCTGCAGTGGCGGCAGCAACAGCAGCCTCAGTGACAGCATCGTATCGCCCATCAAATGTCTCAATCAGGGTGGTCTTGATAGACCCAAACATCTCTGGAATCTCTGCTCGGATAGCTGCAGCCACCTCCTCGTGGATCATCCTACGAATCTCATCGTCACTGGTACCACTGCCCCCTGGGTTGTGGCGCGTACCCACCATGATGTCTCTGAAATACAACAAAAAATAATCAGAGACTCGCTCGAGTATACTCACACTCGATCACTCGCCCCTACTTGTTCCTTAGCATCCTAAGGATTCTTACTTGGACCGCTCACTGATCCGGTGCTTCCAGTAGTATGGGCCCAATACTACCTTCCACACCGCATCAGTGTTCACCCCAAGTCCTCCTCATCGGATCCTAATTACAAGTACTCTAAGCCTTACCAACTACCCTCACAGTAGTCCTCTCATTGGCTCACTCCTGCTAGATACTCGTACTCAGAATAAATCACTGATAGCAGAAATCCCTAGGCTAAGGCATCAAAAATCAGGCCACCCTAGTCCTAATATATGAATTACCTAGCCTATTCTCTAGCATGCATTATATCTCATAAAATATCTCATAGCACAAAATGAGGGTATTTTGGGAAATCACCGCTCGGGCTCTGGCTAATTGTACACACTGCTCCGGCTCGTCTTCTCTTAAACTCTTTCTCATTTTTAGAAAAATTTATCTCTTTTGAAAATATTTCTCAAATCCTCAGTTTGAGTCCAAACACACCCGAGGGTGCATCCGAATCCCTCAAACCAAGGCTCTGATACCAACTTCTAACGACGTAAATTTTCAACAAAATTTTCATTTTCAAACATAATAAAACTCATTTCATAATTTTCAAAATCTCATATGTCTCAAATGTCAACAAGTAAAACACAATCCCAGAATCATAAAAACAATCTCCCGCCAGTGTGTACAATCATGTCGGTGCCTTGCCGCGATCCTCAGAACTACCTGAAACACATAACACATAACACGGTAAGCATAAAGCTTAATGAGTTCCCCAAAATACCACACAACACATCAGCCACCCGAGGCTATAACTCAATAAGACCCTCTGGTCAATGTGTCTCAGTGGGACCCTCCGGTCCCACAACTCAGATGGACCCTCTGGTCCCTCAACTCAGCAGCTCAATATAACACACAGTAAACATATCACATAACAAATAGCAGGATATCTCAATACACAGCTCATTCACATAAGACCCTCTGGTCACATATAAAATTACCACTCAAGGTAAGTATAATGAGAAGACTCACCTCGTAACCTAGCAAGTGAAAACCTCGTACTCAGAAATCTCGAACTCTGCCCACCGGTCTAGCCTCCGCCTAACACATAATAATTATCCCTAATTAATATTGGCCCTCAAGAAGCTAGACTAACCCTTCTATGCTTCCAGGAGGGGAAAAATACCATTTTACCCTCCATGGTCTCAATGTTCCTAACTGCCTTACTCTCAAGACATGGAAGTCAATACGAGTCAACCTCCAAGGTTGACCCAACTCGTCGAGTGCACTCGGGTGACTCTCCGAGTCCACTCGTATCCTCTGAATTCTTCTAAGTGTCTCACACGTCTCGTCGAGTTAACCTCCCAACTCAACGGGTTACCACTGGGTCACGAATCACGTCTCTGAATTCTTCTAAGTGTCTAACGAACAAGAGGCCAAGATGAGAGCTTTTTACCTCTAAATAGCAGCAAATGACAAAAGAATGCAAGATCCACAGCCTCCTCTTGGATGGATCCACCAAACTCCTCCAACCTCTCCTCCAAAATGCTCAAGAGTGCACAAGATAGCCTCTCTCTCTCTACAACGAAAAGGGCAGGTTAGGGTTTCTTTATGGGGAAGGTGGCCGTAAAGGGAGGCCATAAGGGCCTTTAAATAGGCCACAAGCCCGAGAAATTAGGGTTTTCTTCAGCAGCGCTGACTCGGCGTGTCAGCTCACGGACTCAGTCGAGTCCGCTCATTAATCCGTGTCACCAGTCGCGACTCTACTCGACGAGTTGAGGCACCAACTCGTCGAGTCACTCCACATAACTCAAAATAAACACTTAAAAATATTATACTTGGAATCCGGATGTTACACATCTCAAATGGATCAAAATAGAGTACCAAGTTAGAAAGTAAGTTTTAATATGTAACTTTAGTTAGTTTGTCTATCATGTAAAGATATACATGTATTTTCATATTAACTTTTCAAAAAAGCCTTTGTGGAGAGAAT